CGATGCAAAGATATATAAATAAATCTCACTTGGCTGTGGTGTATAATTCATTTTACACATGTTGGACTCGATTTGCTAGCACATTGTTGAAGATTTTTGCATCTATGTCCATGAGGGGTGTCAGCCTACTATTTTTCTTTCCTGTAACATCTTTGTGTGATTTGGGTATTACGTTAATGCGGGCTTCATAGTATGAGTTCGGAAGTATTCCCTCTGCTTCGATTTTCTGAAAGAGATTATAGAAAACTGTTATTATTTCTTCTTTAAATGTGTAGTAGGATTCACCAGTGAACCCACCAGGGCCTGGTGCTTTCTGTTTTGGAAAGTTATTCATTGGTGATTCAATTTCTTCCATAGATATACATTCGAACTATCTATTTCTGTATGAGTTTTGGTAGGTTGTGTCTTTCATGAAATTTATCCATTTTATCTAAGATACCAAATTTGTGGGCACAGAGTTGTTCCCGATAACCCTTCATCACCCTTTTAAAGTCCACGAGGTCTGTAGTGATGGCTTCCATTTCACTTCCGATGTCAGTAATTTGTGCCTTATCTCTTTTTTTCTTGGTTGGCCTGGCTAGAGGCTTATGAATTTTACTGGCATTTTCAAAGCACTAACTAGCTGTTCATTCTTTGATTTTCTCTATTAGCTTCCAACTTTCAGTTTCATTGACCTCTGCTCTGATTTTTATTATTTCTTTTTTCTGTTACCTTTAGACCCAATTTGCTTTCCTTTTTTAGTGTCTTAAGGTGGAAGCTTATGTTGTTGATTTTAGAGCATTCTTCTTGTCTACTATATGCACTCCATATTATAACTTTTCCTCTAAGCACTCCTTTAATTTTGATAAGCTATTTTTTTTAATTTAGTAAAAAATAATTTTAAATTTCTCCTGAGACTTCCTCTTGGAAGCTTGTGTTATTTGGAAGTTCAGTCGCCCCAAGTTATGGGGTTTTCGAGCACTGTGTGGTTTCTGTTCTTTTAATTTGTTTGTGAAAGTGTGTGTCCTGGCCGAGTGTGGTTTCTCTCGGCAAATGTCCCACGTGTGGTCGAGGGGGAGGTGTCCTCTGTGGTGTGGGATGGAGAGGCCGGTGGGTAGGTGTCTTGGTCCCGTTGGTGGACGGCGCCACCGAGTCGGGCTACGGCCTTACTGGTCCTGCTTGCGCGGTCTGCCAACTACCGAATTCGACCGTCGCTCCCTGCGGTTCTGCGGCTTCTTCCCCTGCAGCCAGCGCCGTTCCTGGGTGTGCGCACGTTAGGGCTGTGTGTCTTCGTGCAGAACTGACCCTTTCGTCGTTATCTGTGCCCCTCCTGACTCCTGAGGATTTTCCGTGCTCTAAAATCTACTGCCTGAAATAAACGCGGCTACTCTGGTCTTCTGTCTCCAGTGTTATTGAGACATAACTGAGGTGCGAGACTGTGCGCTTACGGCACGTGGCGTCGTGAGGCTGGGGCCGGCTTAGCCGCAGAGGCCCAGAGTGTGCAAGAAATGACCCCAGGTTCTCATGAAATTTTCCTGGGTAGTGAAATCCCTGTGGGAGGGACCTTGGAGGAAATTCAAACGCAGCCTAGGTTATTTGTGAAAGCTTTTAAAGTTGTGCCTGCAGAGATGGCCCTGCTCAGAAGCTAAACCTTGCAGTGACATAAATCCAGAAGGAAATGGCTTTGCATGCAGCTGGCTCCTCACCCTTCCCTCCCCCTTACTTCTGCTCCTGTCCCCTCTCCACCCCCAGCTCTCCAGGGGCCCCTCGCCGCCGCTCCCAGCCTCCTGCTCGCTCCCATGCTTGCAAGTGTCACCCCCGGGGCGAGAGTTCCTGGAATTACTGTCCCCTGCTATCATGGCTTTCCCCAGGGCTGTTATCAGCAGGTGCTGAGAGTTTGCAGGGCAGAGTCCACTCCAGGAGGAACTATCTCAGGAGATGGAGGTGGCTGTGGCATCTCCAAGTCACAGGCCTTGGGCACCCCGGAGCAGAAGCAACCCATGTCACCTGGCCCCAGTCGCCTGGGCCCAGTGCCATCTCGGTTCCTTTGACAAAAGGAAAAGAACGTTTCGAGGACGCTCCCTAGTCAGCAGTGCTGAGTGCTGGGGAGAGGTGATGTGAAGTCACGACTGAGCTGGGGGTAGAAATTTGGACATTCTTGGTGGCCCCAGAAAACAGCTTCATAGGAGGGGCCCCCACGGAACCTGAGCGGTGACAGTAACTAATGCCTAGGACATGCCAGGCATGAGTGTGATGGCGTCACCATTCTCGGCCCGGCCCCTGCTGTGCTACGATGTGCCATCTCGCTGATGAGTCGGCGGGGCACAGAGAGGCTCAGGAACTGGCCCAAGGTCACCCAGCCCGGACGTGACCCCAGACGGTCTGGCTTAGGAGTGTGTACGCTTGACCGTGGCACTTTCTGTCTGAAACCACACGGGAGGGGGACAGCACGGTCGCAGGGAACTCACTTTCCAGAATTTGTGCTGCGGAGACAGAAAACGAAGGCACCTCTGGGGGAAACGCAGCAGGGGCCGGTGCAGGGTGCCCGTCCAGGCCTGGAGGAGCGAGAGTGTGTGAGAACATCTCAGGGGGACAGTGGGGCTGTGGCCCAGGGCCCCGCAGTGCCACCAAGGTCTGCGAGGCCCAGACTGTCCACAGCCCAGCCTGAAATGTCTGCACCCGTTGTCCAAGCTGTCGCTTTCCCTGGCAAAGCTCCGTCGGCAGAATGCCAGTGAGTCAGGGGCTGCGACCCACCGAGGACTCACGTGTCATCCCCGCAGGCGGCTGAGGCCAGGCTCTGCTCAGAGTTCGTCCCCAGGACCCTGACCCCAAGGAGATGCTGGCCACTCCCCTGCTTTGCTGGGTGCTCCCACACGTGCCTGAGGTGAGGGTCTCGCCCCTGCTCTGGGCCTGGCCCAGGGCGATGCTGCCCACACAGGAGGCGGGTGCCTCTCCGGGTTCTGTGGGGACAAGCGAAAGGCGTCCCTTGAAAAGCACGAAATGCCCCGTGCCCCCCAGGACGTGTGCTGGCCTGTCGTGTGCTGCAAGGGGCTGCTTGGACTCAGCAGGAGTTCAGGGCGCAGGAGAGGGCAAGGAGGCCACCATGTGCGTGTGACTGAACAGACCACAGCCTTGACACCCTGAGCCCTCCTCGGGGAGAGGAGGGGGCCATTTCTCTAAAATAGAAAAACAAATCACAGGCAGAAAAGGGCGCCAGGGCCTTCCTCCTGAGGGGACAGCAAACAGAGGCCGCTCACGGACGCGGTCACAGACACGCGCAGTCACACAGGTGTTCGCGGACGCGGCCGAGTTTGCGGCCTGTGGCTGCCAAAACATGTCACCAGGAACTCAGGGACTTCAAACGACATGCCTGTGTTCCCTCCAGTCTGGGGTCAGAGGTCCAAGATCCATGTTCCTGCGCTGAGGTGCGGGCGTTGGCCCGCC